CCTTCAGATATGGTTTTCATGATGTGCAAAAAGCACATGAGGAGACCGCGGGTCTCTGCCTGGTCCAGTTTGTCACAGCGGGAACCGTAACCAATCAGAGACTGGGGTCGTGCAAACTAAAGGAAAACCACAAAAACACAAATGCAGTCAAAACATGTCAGATATTTTATGGTAAATGCTAAATTATTTAAAGCATCAATCATTTTAAAACACGTTTCTGCTTCTAATGAGTCATTAATCATGACTCTTTGAGAGCTAAGTTAGATATAGTTTAGTACAATTTTTTATGACATTCATTTTCTTACTAAATTACATCAAAAATCGATTACTATATGTGATGAAGTAACCTTTCTAGAGGAGATTTTATTATACGAGTTACAAAAGTTTAGAACAGCTTCAAATGAACTTTCATTCAAGTTTTCATCTTCAAATAGTGAAGACATACCTTACATACGATACATATTATTACTTAGATTAGGGCGACGGTGGCACAGGAGTTAAGTGCTCGCCCCGTAATCGGAAGGTTGCAGGTTCGAGTCCCGCTCAGTCTGTCGCTGTCGTTGTGTCCTTGGGCAAGACACTTAACCCACGATGCCTGCTGGTGGTGGTCGGAGGGACCGGTGGCGCCAGTGCTCGGCAGCCTCGCCTCTGTCAGTGCGCCCCAGGGCAGCTGTGGCTACATCGTAGCTCATCCCACCAGTGTGTGTGAATGGGTGAATGACTGGTTGTGTTGTAAAGCGCCTTGGGGAGTTCCAGGACTCTAGAAGGCGCTATATCAAATACAGGCCATTTACCATTAGCCATTTTTATATTTTGATTGTTTTTACGTTACTGTATTTTTGCAAAACTCTGTTGCTGTGAAGCTTGCACACAAGAATTTCACTCGCATGTACTGTTCCAGTGTAACTGCACATGTGACGTGACAATACAAGTGATTTGATTTGAACTTTTGTTGGATTCTGGGGAAAAAACAAGACAATATTTTCACTATAAAATATTTCTTGGCAATTTTGGTAATAGGATAAATAACAAAAACAAAAACCAATGACTGCAAAAGCCTCAACAATAACAACAGGCTCCAGTTGGTCTTAAATATATCTTAATAGGCTACGGATACGAACATATTTTTGTGAATATTAGAGAAACATCAGTGGTTTAAAATTTGTCTTGTTTTTCTATTAGTCATTTTTATGACTGCATGTATTATATGTGGCTCATAATGAAGCAGGAGCATTGATTATAATCATTCCCGCTCTGCGACACATCTGCTTTCTCATTTCCAGTGATAGATCAAGTGGAGTCAGAATTTGAACACTTAGAACTTTTTTTCTCTCTCTCACACCTTCTCACATCCATCCATCTTCTCACTGTTCCTGTCGCTGTTGCTTGGGTTTGAGTCCACGCTGATCAAAGAACCTCGAGAGTCGGCCTGGTTACTCGTAGCAACCGCCAGGGATGAGAAGGCTGGTGCAGAGAGGGGGGTATCAGAACACTTGACTCTTGTAATGATCATGTACACACGTCACACAGTCCTACCTGTGATGGAATTCAGCACTTCTTTGGAAAATGAGGCATCCATGGAGTTTCCATGGCGAGTAACAGCCCCTCCCCCTCCCACGCTGACATCATCTCGAGAGCCCTGTGAGGAGCACAGGAACAAAAAGGCAGAGAGAAAGGAGAAACTATCAATTCTGCAACTTTGAAATATACTAGATGAAAAGTTTGTGCGTTTGCTATAAACGTCTCCTAACATCCAGCTGGGTTCTTACTTGGTCACTAGAAGTGAAGTAAATGGGGAAAAGGTCCCTGAGGAAGAACCGAGGCATGTTGTCCAGGATCAGTCCATACAGAGGCAGGTAGAGGGACGCGATTCTCGCCTGCTTCTCCTGGAGGACAGCCAAGGAAAAAAGGTATCATGAGACTTTCGAATAGAACCAACCACCAACAGTTTGCTTCCTTACTTTTTTCTTTTACAAATGAAACAAAGTAGATTTGTAGTATTGAATTTTTATGAGATATTAATCTTAATTAACCCTTCCACCGTCATCATGGGTGACCCCGCCAGGAAAGCTGACCATTGAGCAGGATTGATGGTTTATCCCTTGAGGTCCATGTGGCAGGGGGTGAGGTGGTGCTCACTCCTCACCCCCTGCCACATGGACCTCAAGGGATAAACCATCAATCCTGCTCAATGGTCAGCTTTCCTGGCGGGGTCACCCATGAGGACGGTGGAAGGGTTAAAGGGATTTTTAAAGACTCATGAGAGACAAGAACCAAAAATACTCTTGTAGGTTTTATATAGAAAAAGTCCCTTCCAAACTAAATCTTTCCAGTTTATTTTCCACCGTTGGGTCGGACTGAGAACCGAGGAGACTTAACTTCAGTCCTGCTGGTGAGTTGTGGTTGGCTGTGTTTATCCGTGGGCAGATTACACACTTGGTCTAATCCAGAGACTTCCCAACATTCATTAGGACCTTGACAATGTAGTGTGTGTGTGTGTGTGTGTGTGTGTGTGTGCGCATGCGTGCGTGCGTGTGTGTGTGTGTGTGTGTGTGTGTGCTAAGATGAGTCATAATGGAAGGGTTTCTGCTGTGTGCTAGTGACTCATTTTTCTGCTTCTTTTGTCTTCCTCCAGAGAATCATCGGTACCTTGGTGGCGTAACGTGCATCCAGAGAGTGTTTGGCCATTAGCGTCTTTAAGGTGGCCAAGGCGAGGTGTCTCAGGTCCTGCTCGTCCTGAAGAGCCAGTCCCAGTTCCCGTAGCAACAGGCCTGTCAGAAAGTGCTTTCTGCAGAACTCTCCCGTCAGGTTGTACTCGGGAACTGAGGCTGAGGCGAGATGATGGATGGAAGTTAGATAATTAGGAGTTAACTCATTTCTGGAGAGAAATTTTGTTACAGTGGGCAACACGGGACACACACTCAAAGACACAAAATATGGGAGAAGGGGGTTTACCAGGGGTGGTGTGTGGCTCAGAAGATGCATGGTCTGACACGGACAATAAAATGAAAAGAAAAATGACAGAAAGTCAAAATAAAAGTCTGACAATGTGTTAATAAATGGATTCCAGGGCAGGGTACACGATGAAGGACTGCAAACACATAAATGTCAGAGAGCTGCAGGGTAGGATTTGACCTCTGACCTGTGATGAGAGCAGAAGGTAAAGGCAGGCTCAGAGGGATGTAGTGCTCATGGTTGCACACCTCTCTCAGGAAGTCAAATTTCAGCTCACAGAGGACCTATTAGTCCCACAAAAGAAAAATAAAAGACCTAAATCCATTTACATCCACTGTGTAATAAATAAAGCAACGAGTATCATTTTACTTTTACCTTGCTGTCTGTAGCAGTGATCATGTTAATGTAGTTACTGATCAGTTTGAATGTGAAGCCTCTGTCCATCAGAGTAAAACAGCGCTGCAAATAGAAGAAAACTCAGCAGCATATATTTCACATAGTTTTAGGAATTATGTTTTTGCACGCACCTTGACAAAAGCAGCCACAGCCAAGTTGGCGCTGCGCGTTTCCTCCTGCAGGTCTTTGTATTTCCAGAAGATGTGCTCAGAGACCGTCTCCACCAACGTCTCCACCCGGCTCAGGTAGGAGGAGGGAAAACGCTGAGGCCTCGGCAGCTGAAGAGCAGCACACACGGGTCACCTCCGCGCAACATCGCCAGATGAAGCACGAAATCAGAGGGGTGACAGCTTACCTTTACCTTGTCAGAGTCAACTAAATGCTGGGCCATGGATTTAACAATGAGCTCAAAGAAGAACCAGGAGAACTGAAACCCGAAAGGAAGTCTTTCAGATCAATAGCAGATGACTGATGTAAATCATTAAATTGCTCATTTTACTGGGATTATGAGAGGGTTGAGACAAACCTTGAGAACATTCCTTACTGCTGCTTGCTCGTTGCTCTTCAGGTCAAAGGTCATTCCTTTAGCCAGCTCTTCGTGAACGGTCCTGAAGCCATGAGCCTCCGACTTGAAAACAAACTAGACCAGAAATGAAAACAACGGCAGAAACACCAGGTCACCGATGTACTTCCAGCAGAGAAGCAAATCTCATAAGGATATTTATAAGGATTTAGCCCTAACCCTTTTCAACAGTTTTCACGGTCTGAGTAACAATACTTGAGATTACTGGTATGAAGAGAGAGAACGTGCAAATTTTGAAGGAAAAAAAATAAACCAAAGTTTGCTTCACCACATTTCATATTTCATTAGTAAAATTTGATTATTTTTAAAGGGGCCAAAACATTTGAAATTGTTATTTCCTCCAGAGAAAAAACGTTTTTGTTTTGGCTGCATTCATGCATTTTCCTGTCTCAGCTGCAAATTTGGAGTTTGACTTTGAAAACCCTGTAAAGTGTCAATGGAAACTAGTCATCAGGTCCTGCTCCTCTCCCGGAAGCTGGTCTCCTCGACGCTATCGAGACCATCGCTGGTAAAGACTTGGCAGTCGACTGGTTAAAGTGCTATGCTGGCATTTAGTTTTGCATCGGTTTACATCCCGGTTTCAGAAGTACAAGGCTAAAGAAAATAACTCGTATTCAAGAGAAATGACGTCAGACACTTTGCCTACCTTTGCTCTCAAAGTTTTAAAATAGCATGATACTGCACTTTTAAAAACTTTTCTCTTTGATAAAATGTGAACATGTTTGATGATAATAATTACTACTATTTTATTAATTTTCTTCTTCTTATTATTATTATAGATTTGCTTTAAAATAAATTCTGCCTGATATTAAAAATCCTATTAAGAATAATTTGCACTAGGATTGTACATTACATATCTAATAAAGCTCCTTTATTCAATATTCAGTGGGGGGTGTAGTACAGACAACATTTTTAGTGCTGATGTTGCCCTATGGCTGTGTCTCACTTGCTCTCAAAGGGCAGATTAAACTATATGGCCTCTTCTACTTTAATGACTCAAATCATCATATTTGATGTAAATGAGTGAAATCACAATCACTGTTTAGAAATGAGAGGACATTTTGAGAAAATATGAAAAAACTCTGTAAGTAAAACTGAACAGCACTCGTAGTGAACGTCATGCCATGTCTGTTGCTATGGTAACCTTGGTTTCACCAGCTCTGCTGGTCATCTCCCCTCCCCACCACTCCTTTCTGTTGTTGCCTCTTCAGACTCTGCAGTTTTTCAGCTCTGTGGCCAACATGAAATGGCTCTTGTGGTTTCTCCTGTTTTCTGTCTTAATTCGCTCTCTGATTTTTTCCCCCTATAAACAAACATGCTCTGTGTTTCTGACTGAGAGGGATAAATGTCCTCATTTATGCTCCACAAACACAAAAACATGAACATCCATCTTTTCTTTTCTTTCCTGCAGAAATTGTATTCCCTTGGATTACATTCCACGCCAAACAGCTGCTTTTAAAGATGCTGCTTGAGCAAGCAGAAAAGCACCACACATCTGTGTGACTACACACACACGCACACACCTTGATATAAGAGTGAAGATGGTGATCAAGATTTTCATCATGGCACTTGCTGACAATATGAACCAGCACTCTGCAGACAAAAGATGACAAAAACAAAAAGTTTTATAACAAATATTATATTTAACATTTAGAACACATTTTGTTTTTAAATTGGCAAGAATCAATCATTAACACATTGCATTTTAAACTATATATGCTTTTCTTGTGTAGTTTTGCACATGCTGCAATCATCATCATCATAATCAGTATAATAAATATAAGGAAAAGGAGACCTGGTAGTACCACTGATTACCTGGTGGTGGCAGTAGTGACTTCATCATTGTCATTCTGAGTCAGAACCTTGAACAGCTGGTTGAAAAGCACAGGCAGGAAGCGGACTATCGCTGGGATTCTCTCCATGCTGAGAAGACCCTGGAGACAGTGGGGGGTTTACCATTAGGCATAGGGCGGCTGCCGCCTGGGGCCCCCAACATAACGGGGCCCCATAGCCCTGACCACCGGCACCCCTCTGTTAATCCCACAATGGACTATTCCTTTAGGACGCCGATTCACACACAGGAATTGATTGGTAGTCATTCCACTCCAATCCAGTTGGTGGTAGTAATGCACCAAACTGTTGTTTGCCAAGTGCCATGGGACCACAAATAAGAAGAAGACAAAAAAGCAGAAGAAGAAGAAGAGAGGCAGGAGCGTTCGTAACAAACTCGAAGCGATAGTCAAAACATTAAGCATGAAATGGAGTTATCCTAGTGGCTCCAATAAGAGAAAGAAGCAGCTTGATTTAAAAAAGCTTTTATCTTCACTTCCAAAAGTGACAGTTTTTCTATGTAAACATCAAAAGGAAGCAGAAAGGAAAGACAATGGAAAATATTTAAAGGGAGGAAAACTGATCAAAATGGAAAATAGAAAAACAAAAGAAAGGCAAAAGCACAGGAGCACTGACAGGAAGAAGAAACCAGGGAAAATATTGAAAGCACTCAAAGGGAGGGAAAGACAGGAAAAAAAAGGAGGACTAAAAGGGAAAATAACTCATGTCAGAAGAGAGAAGAGTTTCACAAATCGTTGAAGGTAAGATTGTCAAAAATTTAGTGTAAGGGGGCCAATGTCTGTGTTCAGCTTGGGCCCCCAAATTGCTAAATCCGCCACTGCCTGGAGATGAAGGAAAAAGTTGGAACGCATGGAAATGAAAATAAATTAAAAAGAGATCAAAAACGGTCTAATGTGGCGTTGAGTTTAATATCCAAGGTTCTGTTTTCTGTCTGAGTAAAAATGACTGAGATTTCAGAATGTTTAGGTGTCTTTTCTCTGACCTTCAGGCAGTTGAGGAAGTTGGAGGTAGGAGGCTGAGAGAGGTCCAGCTCTCTCTTCTGGCACTGCTGGAAGAATCGGTTCAGGTGGGGGTCCTGGCAAAAAGAGAGGAATTCACAAATATCAGCAGCCAGCAGCTGAAAAATCACTCAGTGAACTCGATCCTTTTTATGTGACACGAATATGAACTTTAATACCTCAAAGTTATGTTTTATAGGTGCTTTGGTGTTAGATTAATCTAAGATTAAACTTATGTGAAACTGAAGGTACAGCGTTTTCGTTAGATAAAAAAAAATCATTGTTCGGTTTTCTGGGATATGAATGTTTTTTTTAAATCAATTAGTTACAAGTTTAAAAATATATGAAATAATAATTACAAAAGACTTAAATCACTAGTGGAAACATTTTATAAAAACTCTTCCTACATTAGGTCATTTAATTATGATATTTTATTATTTTGTTTCTTCTCTATAATCAAAAGTGTCTTTTCTATTAAAATACGTCTCTAACAGCACTTTAATAATCTTTAAATGACGTACGCATTTTATGTCTAAATGATTTTTGCTCTGTCAGTAAAATTAACTTCAGGCTGTAGAAATGTATATCCAACAGTTTAGTTTATGCTTCTGCATCTGCGTCGGTACAGAGACATTCAACACCATTATTCGTCGTTGCGAGGGCTCTCCAGCGGGCTCGCAAGGATGGACGGAGTCGAGCCCACTTTTCTAAACATCCGTCAAAAGAGATGGAGAATGCAAGCTAGTGATTGGTCGGGACGCCGCTTTCATCAACAGCACCGCCATTACGCTCGGAAAAAAATAAAGACAGCCGAAGATATCTAGCGGCAGACACGGTGCAGCTAAAAATAGGAAAGTTTGATTCACCCGTGACTGAAGGAGTAAAGATACGCAGCAGGTGTTTTATTCATGGATGGAAATGACATGAAATGTGGGTTTAGAGGTGGGTGAAGGAGAACGAAGGATAAATTTGTTCGTGATAAGGATTATCTGAAATACAAACACAATAGTAAAAGCACTATCTTGGACCGGATACACGACAGGGTACCCTAAAGTGCTACGCCCCCTGTGGTCCTGGCGGGGAGTTGCTTTGCATCACTCCCCAGGTGACGGGGTGTCCGAAGGCAAAACGCCCCCATCAATGCGTGTGTGTCTCTTCCTCGTGAAGCTGACGCAGAAGCATAAACTAGGCTTTAGAGAGAGACACACACACACACACACACACATTGGCCTTTCTCAGTGGCCTAGTGGTAGAGTGTCCGCCCTGAGACTGGGAGATCAGGGGTTCGATTCCTGGTCGGGTCATACCAAAGACTTTGAAAACAAATGGGACCCAATGCCTCCCTGCTTGACACTCAGCATTAAGGGGTTGGATTGGGGGGGTTAAACCACCAAATAGTTCCAGAGCGTGGCTGTGTCTGCAGCTCACCGCTCCCCCAGGGGATGGGTCAAATGCGGAGAACAAATTTCGCACACACACATGTGTGTGTGACAACTAATGGGACTTTAACTTTAACACACACACACACACACACACACACACACACACACACACACACATCAGAAAGCAAGTGCGCAGTAGAAAAACACAAATGGCATTTTTACCTGAGTGTAAACTGTTGAGACGACGTTGGTGGAGAGTTTGAAGATTGCTTTTCCTCCATCGACCCATTTCACATCGGCTCCATTCTTAGACAACAATAAGACACAACAGCTTGAACACTGGAACCAGCTAATGCTGAACATTCATATCTCACACTTTAACAAAAATCTCGTTTGGAATACCCCTTTCCCACTTCTAATCACTGTTGGTCTCACCTTAGTACTGCTGGCTTCCTTAATGGCCAGGTATCCAGGTGGCAGGTTGCAGGATACTGGAATGTTGAACTCCTGAGATGACACCCGGCCTTCTTTCAGTATAGGCAGCCAAGAATAGCCCACTGAAAATAAAAATAACAGATCATTGAAACGTCTGCAGAACCCATCCTCGTGCAACCTTCCTCAGGATTAACAACCATCCTTACCTGGAGTCTCTAGGGTCTCTTTCCTCTTAGCATTTGTCTTAGCATTAATGTCACACGTGACATGGTAGAAGGAGAAAAGAAGGTGGTGCTTTTCGTGAAGCTGGATGGGAAGCTCAACCTTCACCTGGAGGAATAAAATCATGAGGGAGGATACAGATTTAGTTGGTTTTGGTGTGTGACGATGACTGAAATCTCTCTAATTCTCCTGCTTGCCTCATCATAGAAGTCAGGGTTCTGAGAGTGATGCAAGACAGTGGAGGAGGCTGTTGTTGTGAAAACTGGTCCTCCTGGCTTGCCATAGATACACTAAGAAAAGAAAAAGTCCTCATGATGAAAAAAATGAACTTGGAAGAAATAATTCACATAACTGGCAAAAATCCCACCAGCGTTTTCGCTTGATGAACAAACCTTTAAGGGCTTGGCAACTTCTTCATCTGAGCTGCGGAATTCTACATAGACTGCAATGTTACGAGCCTGCGAACAAGGAGACCATTGTGATACTAATGACTGAGCTCATAAAAAAGGCAATGAAAGTATACAAAGGACCTGAAAAAGAAGAATGTTGCTCATTACTTCACATTCAAAAGATCCTCACCTTTGCAAAGCTCTTCTGACTGTCGTACTTGAGGTGCTTGGGGTAAACGTAGATGTGGTTTCTATAGACGCGATGCGGTTGGGTGAACCTAGTGGTGTCCTGGACAAACTCTTCCACCTCCACGGTGGGCTGGTGTTCACTCAGCTCTTCAAAAGGCTTCACTGGCACATATGAGGAAGTCACACAGTCTGGAAGAAAGGGGATTTAGGTAAGGATAAAAAAGTTTAAAGGGACCATATAATGGAAAACCCACTTTTGGGAGCTTTTTAGCATGTGACATTGTTATTTCCCCATGAAAAATACATCCAAACACATTTTTGGCTGTATTCATGCATTTTCCTGTTCCAGCTGCAAATTTAGAATTTTATTTTGAAATTCCTGAAAAGCCCAGATGTAAAGTTTTACGTAATACCGTCTTCCTCCTCCCGACACCAGGCCCCGCTCTTTCCCTGAATCTGGAATGTGTTCTGAAATCGGTCTCCAGTGGCCAGCACAGGATACGTAGCTTAGGTGTAAGGACGTAATTTTCACTTTAGAAGTGGGGGGGGGGGGGGGGGGGGGGTATCTTTACAGTATGTTCTAATGGGAAACAGGCTTCAACACAAACGGTTGTTTTCCGCTTGGTCCTAGAACTCAACCAGCATCAATTTAATATAACGTAATATTGTTTTTGGATGGTAAAAATTGCAGGGGTCAAAACTGGACTTTGGAAAAAGTGGGGGGGACATGTCCCCCCCCCGTCCCCCCCAAAATTACGTCCATGCTTAGGTGACTGTTGTCATCTAAAAGACGTGGTAGTCTAGAGGTTAGAGTGCTGGGTTTACGCGGGTTCACGGCAGTAACTTTTTTCTTTTCTTTTTTAGCTACACTTGCCAGTATGTTTTCAAACTTTATTGGTAAACAGTTTAAAATATGAGGACTATATGTATATATTTTTCTATGTTACTTTTTTACTCCCTTTGTTTCCTTAGCCATTGAGAGTCCATGTGAGGTGAGAAGGGTACATCAGCTAAAATGCTGCTTGGAAATTACCAAATTCAAAGATGTTTAGAGACACAAAATATTGTAGCACATGGCAAAACGGGAGTTGGCAGGCAGATGTCTTAACCTAACCCAAGTTTAAAAATAAGACATACTGGGATGCTCCAATGGAACATAGTCTATTGCAATGTCTAATGTTCCTGGTATAGTCTGCAGTTTGCTGTTCTTCTCAGCCCTGCAAAGACAAAGAGAATGCATAAGAATCATTAATGATTGTTTTGTCTTGAAGACTTTCTTTTCTTTATGCAATTCATCCCACCTCCTGTACTCAGAAACCAGCTTAATCAGATCATCTGTGGAGATCTTGTTGCTTTCCTGTTTATAAAGAGGTGAGAAACGAGACTCCCGGTCCAGCGCTCCGTGGTTGTCTTTAAACACCGGTCTGTAATAAAAGAAGGTAATTTAGGGATAAAACATCAGATGGAGCAGCATCCCATGAGGGCCATCAGGCAGAAATCATTTAAAATTAGGTCTTGAAGCCTCTCACCTGACAGACCATGCAAAGGGCATACGGTACTTTCCAAGTTTGCAGCAAAACTGCTTGTTGGACTTTAAAGTCTTCAGCACAGTCTGTTCAAGATGCAAAAGAAAGAAGCGTTGGCAGATAGTTTTTAACAAGAAGCAACAGCTGACATTCCTGAATGCAAATCTACATTCTAGATGATCTGGACAGCCTGACAGACTAAACCTGGGGCTTGTTTAACACAGTAGCTCTGGCAGCAGGTTGGATGTCTGCAAATTCACTTAGCCAGTTAAACAGGGACCACATGAAGCTCTGCCAGCGGGGAGAGCAAAAAAGCATCCTGGATAGGCTCTTGGAAAAACCTCATTTCTGCTCTACCCAGGCATTCAGCGAAGAAGATAACCCCCAGATTTACAGGGAAACCATTTAGCAAATGTCAGTCTAAACAGTTTACTGGATTAGATCTTTTTTTGGTACAATAAATTACTTAACAGTATGTTTTATGGGCTGTGTTTCACAACCTGCTTTAAGAGATAAGAGGGTATAAATCACTGATCATCAACCAACCAGTGGATACTTGGCCATTTCTGGCCCATTTGGCCCTCAAAGTATTAAATTATTATGAAATTCTTTACAATCCAACACATTACCAGCTCTTAGGTTAGACTTTTCTTCATTTTATTACTTTTGTTAAAAATTTGAATCTTATTTTTTCACATGTATCCCTTACAAGTCGCTAATCAAAGCTAAATGTTTAAAGTATCTTAGCAAAAATAAGCAAATGAAGACAATAAACATCTTAGAAGAATGACTTAAATCATCCAGGTCCCAGTTTGCAGGAATGTGGCTGTTTTAAAGATGGCTCCTGCTTTGGAAAATTCTGATATTTTTAAATAATTACTACACTATAAAAATATGTTAGCTTTTTACTGATCAGTGGAGACAGATAAAACACAAAGCATGAATACAAATGAAGTTCTGACCTTGCTGGAGTCTGTATTCTTGATATAAGGTTCAGTGCCGAATGCAATATTTCCCATCAGCACCTTTTCCACCTTTGCCACCATGACTATATCAGTATGGGGGTTGGTCACTGAGAAAATGGCCTGCATGGAATCCAATAAGGAGGAGTTAGTCTGCAAAATAGAAGGGCTGTGAAATCTGTGCATTGATGAAGGGGTATTTTTGCACCTGTTTGGGGAAGCAAAGCCACTGCTCCAAGTCCACACTCAGGTGACAATCACCTGCCTTCTTCTCAGCAGGAGAGCACAAGCCGTTCTCTTGAGCTCCGACCCCCGTACCTAGGCCCGTTACCCTGCCACAGCCTCCGAGCATTTGACGCACGGCTTCGTGGTTAAGGTCTACGTGGAAGTCTGCAGAAACTTTTCTGCCTTCTCGAATATCCAGCAGAGCCAGCGACACAAAGAAGGGTTCGATCTAACGGAGAACGCTTGTTTCAGTTACTGCTTTCAGACCACATGATTGTTTCCCTTTAGCTAATGGTAAAAGTTACTCATGCTCACATTCGTGACGGGTTCTGTTTCACTCTCATTGACACAAGCCTGCAGCATGAGATTGAGAGACTTGCATGTGATCATGAACCTTCTGCCGAGCTTCTCTTCAAACGGGTGCACTGTTGAGCTGTCAGATAACGAGTGTTCTGTCCGCGGGCTTCTCAAAACCTGCGGCGAAAGCATCAAAGTTGATCTCACAGGGAATGATGGATGTAAAGAGCAGGGACACATTGAGTCAGTAACCAAGGCTGTGATGAAGCGAATGCAGAAGTCTTACGGGAGTGTCTGGGTCCAGAGAAAACAGATTCAACCGCTCTTCTCTTCTAGCAGAGCGAATTCTCTCGTCTGTCTCGGAGATGTACTGTGACAGGAGGGACAGCAGGGAAACAGGAATATCATCAGCAAATAACTGACTCTTTCAAGTGAGGATCTTTGGAAAAAATGGGAACAAATCATTTTAAACTTTTGTAAAAAGATCTTTGACTTACCTCAGTTTGGACAAAATGAGACTTGTTCTAACATGATTGACCTGCTAATGGCTAGTCCGAACAGTGCAAAGATCTAAATGGTGCAAAAGGAAACAGCAGCAGCTAGCTGCATCATGTCCAGTGTAGTCAGGGGGCCAGATTTATCATCTATGCACTTGACTGCAATACAAAATTTTCAAGTTATCAAGTATCTGCATGAGCTTCTATGAACTTTGCCATAGCAGAGCTGTTTAGGACGGCAGATATTCATTTTGGTCTTGGCCCTGCTTAATCTAGCCGTTAGCTTGTCACTCCAGTCAGAAACTACAAACTACAGCAATTCAGACAGATATCCACAGTAGCCACGTTTACCTGCGCCAAATTCCCCCAATCCGATTCAAATCTCGGTTGATCAGAAATCCCAAATCTCCGTTTACATGGACACTAACTGAAATGATCCGATCATGCAGTGAGGGAGGCTCGTTAGCTGTTGCACACATGTGCAGTGGGCCTTATTTTACTCCAACAATCCGAATGGCTGTGCACATGCACGTCAATCGGAATGATGATTGGAAAAAACCACCTTTCTCAATCGGACTAAAATTTCATTCCGATAGGGCCGAATCGGATCGGAATGTTCCGATTGACATGTTTACATGTAGAATTTATGATCTGATTGGGCGTTCCGATTAATTGTGAGCATGTAAACGTGGCTAATGATAAGGTAACAATCGTTCATGACCTTTCCACAGAAACACAGCATGTTAAAGGAACACTAGGCAGTTTTGGCTAGCTTATAACACCCCCTAGTCTCAGTTTAGTTGAACCAAAAGTGAAACCTATCCCCTCGTTGTGTGTTCGTCTTTTTAACACTTTAATCCAACAGCTGAAATGTCTCCCCAGCTTTTATTAGTGTTTACAGAGGTGATTTATCACTAAATTAAAAAAATTAGCTGTGTTCATGATCTAAAACATGCAGGAAATGTGTTGAAGCGCCAAGAATGTCAGCTCAATTTTTTCCAAGTCCATCAGGTGGCGGCCTGCCAGTCTGAAGTCGGAAGTGCAATATTCTGGCCACAATGGGCGGTGGGGGTCTGAGTTACATTTCATTAACCCTGTAAAGCCGGGGTATTCAATCCTGGTCCTGGAGGGCTGGTATCCAGCACGTTTTAGAGGTTACAATGCTCCAACACACGTAATTCAGTGATTGAATCACCTGTGCAGCAGGGCAACATGCTCTGCAGAAGCATGTTCATCATTTAAAATCAGGTGTGTTGAAACAACTTTTAAACTAAAATGTGCTGGATACCAGCCCTCCAGGCCTGGAAAGGGTCATTTTAGCACACACTGGCTCAAGAAAATTATTTAAAAATATGAAAAAGTTGCACAGTATGCCTTTAACTATAAATTTAGGTCTCTTTTGGGCATTTTGGAAATGCATCTTGTACGTTTTCAGCAAGTGAACATTCCACCCCTACTCCATGAAACCCTTCTTGTGCATAAATGAAATTGTAGTTATTTTTGTAGATAAAAAAGTATGACACAACATAGAGATTTAATCAATAGAAAATCCTAATTTTAGTGATTTACCAAAGACTCTGAAATCATTGTTTTACATAACCAGAATTTGAAGAGTGAAAACATTGTCTTGACTATTTTTGGTGCATTTGCAGCAACGACTCATAAGCACAGATCTTGCAAAACAAACCAGATAAAAACGTAAAGCAACAACACGATTCTGCCATTCGCAGTCTTAGCTGATTTCCTTATTTTAAACCTACCTTTGCCAGCTCTGGATGGATGCCGTTTTCTGTAATTTCTTCATTTTCCGGCAAACAACCCTCACTCAGCGACAGGTCAAACACATCTGCAGAGAGAAGCAAACACAATCAGGTCACCTGGGGGTCTGCTCATGACTGATGACCCCAACCACTGACTGGAGGTGAAAGTTTCTCCAAGCAATTTATATTATATGAATAATAGTTCCTGAAATAGGTCCAACTGTAAGTGAAATACTCGCCGACCAGAACCAGAAGACATGCATTTAATTAGGAATAAAATATGAGTCCACTAGCAGCATTCATGGATTTTAAGGAGGGTAGACCTCTGCAGAAATATACAGCTCAAGTTGCCTGGAGCTATTCTTCCAAAACTCTGTGCTGAATAAAAGGACTCATTACTGGTAGGCCACCAAACACTCACTGACTGATTTAGAGGCATGCTAACGGACTGCAGAGCCGTGACAGCTGAAGGGATTACATCACTTCTTCCCTTTTCACTGGTTTCAGCGCTCCATCACAGTGTCATGTTGGGTTACAGGCTGTGGACCACATGCCTCACTTATAACGCTCGAGAACTCCAGGTCTGATTTTTTGAAGAACAATGTTATCTAAAAAGTCCAAACCCAGCAGAAATACCCTTTCAGTTCACGGCAGAGTGATAAATATTATTTGGTACAAGTAAGTCAGACAGAGAGGAAATAATCCCTCTCTTAAGGACACAATGGTTTTTCCACACACTGGAATCAAAGAATTACACAAAATGTTTCTTCTCAATTTCCAAAAGCTACTTGCTCTTCTGAAAGCTCACGAGTGCTTTCATCCCTGCTTTTCCAACTTTAGCTTCCTGTTTTTCCACAGACAGTAACATCCACTCACCCTGCCGATGCTCATTGAGGTCCAGACTCTTGCGGTCTGGAGCCGGACCGTCGTGCGGACTGATCTGTAAGATACGGGTCAAAGTGCTGATCCACTCCTCCATGTCCTGCTCACTCTCCGCGGCCAGCACGAAGTACGTAACCTCATTCATCTTCAGCTCAAAGGCGTGCTTCCTCAGGCGATTGTTCTATAAGAGATGAAGCCGAGACAGGAGCATGTAACAGCATAATTATGGACAACTCTTATGTGATGATAGCCAATAATCGACGGCGCATGAGGAAAGGTGTTGCGGCGCGCACCTGCACAACACCCGTGCACGAGTCGAGAAAGATGCAACCTTTGGGCTCCTTGGAGATCTTTTCATCCTTGTAGAAGTTCATGATGTAGGAGTTATCCGTCAGCTGAGTGAGCTGAAAGTATCTCCTCTTGAAAGACTTTAAAAAAAAACATAGCATGGCTTTATGTTCTGAGAAATAAATACACTGGAGCAACAGAGCGACCAAATTATTAAACTTTAGGCAAAGTTTTGAAAATTTCAACCATGTCTGGGCTAAGATGAAAGACAGGAGGTGAGACGTTCCCTCACCCGCACAGTGATGCTGTTGTTAACAGTACTGTTGAAGTTGCCTTTGTACAGCCAGCCTGAGCGAAACACACCAATCCCTCCCCCTCCTCCTCCCCCTCCACCCCCTCCTCCGCCACCACCTCCCCCTTTGGACGAGGACAGAGAGGTGGTATCCTGCGGAACAAACAGTCACAGATGAATTAAGTTTTCCGTAATTTATTCACCAAAATGAAGCAGATCGATACAGAGGGGAGATTTGTTCAACCGTGAGCCATTTCCCACTGACGGGGGATGAAATCATCAATCTCACAACGCATGTTTTCTGTGTCAGCGGTGCATTTTAAAACAAGCAGAAGAGGTCGGATGCAAACAAGATGTTTCTGACTGACCTCGTCTTTATCTACATCTTCATAGTCGATCTCAAAGGAATGAGATGGCAGCTTCTCTGCTTTGTACATTTTCCTGGAAAGAAACATATAAAAACAGGTAAAGCATGTAAAAAATGGATTCCTGATCATGGAATACTGAGAAGGAGGAGATTATTTTTGACAACATGATAAATGTGTTCAATTAAGAGTGGTGCAAACAAGTTGTGGGCATCTGGCTCTGCTCCATCGCTCTCTGTCAGGAGCCAACAATAGGTGGCTCGTCCTCCATCCCGCTCCACTGCCTTTTAGAGTTGGACCCGTCTTTGTGTGTGAGCCCAGGGATAAAATGTCTTTCTCTGTGTGCTGTGAGGTGCAGACAGTCTGTGGAGAACACCACCAGAGCCTCCCTCCGCTAAAACGCCTCGCAGGCGTAAAAAGATGCTCAACAAAATGTCTTGTTGGACCGCGTTGGGAGAAGCTGTGGTGAATGTGGGCCAGCCACCGACATGGGAATGCTCCTGCTGGCTAGAAAACACAGAGGACTCTCTACTCAAGTCACAGCAGTGACAACTAGCAGTAATTCCCAATTGCACGCTGGTTTCAAGTGCATAACTCACTCCAGCTTGTTCCATTAATCTGTAAGCGAGCAGCGCGTTTACCAGAAACGTAAACAAATAGAACTAAAGTCGTGTTTCCCACATTTTCACTGACAGGACCTCTGAACCCTCGGAACTGAAGCTTTCTAAGTTAAAACTTGTGTTTAAGCCTCGTTTTATTGTTGAGTTCATCCTTGATGTCATTTCAGAGGTCATGTGAACTGAGTGAAAGAATACAGTGGCAACCCTGTGGAAGAGAAGAGGGACATTCCTGTGGCTGAAGGGTTATCCTGGGCTGGTCTCACTGGGACTGACAAAACTCCGGTTGACTGACTGACGACCCGACTTAAATCTGAGACTGCCTAATTAAACGGGTGTTTAACTGGATCCAAAAAAAAAAAGGGAGAATCTAGGAGCACTGACAGGTCAGTAACATGAACAAGATGGTGGCTAACGTTAAGCTGCAGTGAGGTCATTCCACCCAAAAAACTAACATTGCTCTCTGTTGGCGGTTATTTATGGGATGTCCTGTTATAGGCTTGGACGTCTCAGAATATTGACAATAATCAGAATGATGGGTTACATGAAAGTAAAAACAGGGCTTGTGATCTTGACGTCATCACCGACGTGGCCGCCTCACTGGAGGTGCGCGAGTCCTTTTCTTGTTGCTTGTTACTACTGTAAACAGCACTCAGTCTCGTTCTTGTGGCTTAAATTAATCCATTCATTATTCAGGTGATCGGTTCTATTACAAAACTCTAGTAAATCGTTGCTATGTTGTGGGGTGACACACGTGATCGCCAGGGGAATAAAGGTGGTTTTCCTGCTTGGAGGCAAAACCACAAAGAACAAGTATCTAGCCTAACAAAGTCTTGTTGGCTCACTTGGATCGCAGCTGTAAGGCGACCAAACATCACCTTCTGGAGTATTTTCATTCTGGTAAGTTACAGATGGTGTACTTTTTTAATACAACATTTCTTTCCTTCAACCGCGACATGCACACGAAACACACACACACACACACACACACACAGTCTACACTTACATACCGGTGAGCTAATGTGGCTCCACTGACACACAACACAACTTCTCCTGCCACCTCCTTCTGTGGGATGACAATTTTACCTCTCATCCAGACGTTTACATCCGCTTGCACCACAAACAAGATAGCCGAAAATGTCCATTATGCAGAACTGCAGAAGCAACAATACACCAACGGTGCTCCGATCTTGGGTCTTTCAAATGGATCAAAACCATTTAAAATGCTGATTTTGTCCACATATCGGCCCCAAATGTCTTTATTTAACCTATCCCTGTATATTCCGCATCCTTTTGGGGATTTTATAATGCTGTTTACCACTTTCTTTCACCCAAATCCACTTCTGCTCTGCGACAGTACCGTTTGTTTCACGGTTTGTTTACACTCGTCAACCTTCCAACATGTCCTCACACATCCCAGAATGCTATGCTTAATCCCGTGTGATCACAAGCCCTAAACTTTATGCTGGACATTTAACATTGACCTCAGTGATCACTGGGTTAGAAACTTGACCAGTTTCATATGGGACACAACTCTGCGGGCCTCTGCTGACCAAAAACCACACTTCATAGTTTTATTGCATGGGTAGGTGTTCTAGGGGCGCTCTTTGCCTGCTTTACAGCTGTTAGATGTAATGATAACAGTTAGCAATTTCAGTTTGCCAATTGTCAATAAAAAACACAAAAAGGAGAAAATGAAGAAGCTTGCTTTTTCTGTTGATATCATGATGGAGCCTGGAAGTAAAAGTAAGAGAGTAATGTCTTCGGAGGTGAAGCAAAGAGCAAAAATCAGAGTGAATATCGGCGTGGCCTACACTAGACTGAGGAACCTAAAGGAGGCTACAAAATCACAGACTGATGGTGACCTGGCTTTGTTGCTACTGGACTTGTAAATAATACTAGTCTTTGTCCAACACTGTGGATCTTTTTACTTCATGGTTTAGTTTAGTATTAGTTAGTTCATGTTGGTGTTAGCATGCTGTTAAAGCTAGCGACGGCAGGCTTCAGCAGGGTTGTTTACAGTAGTTGTAATTCCACTTTCAACCAGTAGGGCAGAGGAGCTCAGAGTTACTTTAGATCTGAATGAACAACTGGAATCACAAACGTGCTAGAAATTACGCAGATAAAAGAGAGATGCATGGCAGGAAGCAAGTATTTAATTATATTTAATTATATTATATTATATTATAATTTTTTTTATTTTATTTGCTGGTCAATTAACTAAACTATGTAAAAAGAACATGATCTGATTAATTACCACTCGTGACAACAAAGATTTCCTCCACACTTATCAGAATAAAAGTAACAATTAAATCAGCACAATTGTCTTTTTCCATCAGCAAGATGCACCGGGTCAAGCTAACCATTTGACACTCTTGTGCATTTGGTTCAGAAAATTTTAGCCCCAAACGTATTATTGAAACACACTCAGCAGCTAACTCAGCTGGAAATATAATGTTTCCTTGTGCTTTTCTTGGTGTGGACAGTAAAGAGATAATCTTTAGAATATTTCATATGAAGCTTCTCTCCAAATGGTTGTGACATGAAGGACGAAGCCTCGTGACGGGTTGTATTACCTGGGCAGTTGGCGATAGTCTCCAGCATAGTCATCGTACTTGAACTGGACCACGTTTAGCTCAGAGTTGTAATATTTGGAGGCCTAGAAGAAAATTTTAAGTTAGAAATTGGCCTGGAGAGGTTTTAAAGAGAGAGAAGACAGCTAGAGCACAGAGGGAGATAACTGGTGTGCAGGAACATCAGACTTATCTGAATAATAAAAGGAACTAAATTAAGATTCTGTCCTCCTGGGGATCCATGTATAAAAAAATCTCTGCATCTCTGGAGGTCATTTATCTGGTTTTATGCTGCTCTAGGGGACAAGTGCGGTCGAGAGGAAGTCGCAGAGACTGCAGGTTAGTTTCACATCCTGTTGTGACACGTACAAGTGTCTGGTTAGTTTTAGAGGTTTGGGGAAACCTTTTCTTTGGAATAAGGACGTTCTATAATAAAGACCAGCCTATTATTATAACCTACTACCAACCAACTTCTAACTGTAGCAGATTCAGTTAATGAGTCAGACACACTTGCAATGACAGACATCCTACCTGTCTGACCAGCAGACACTCAGTTTGAAGCTCCGCCCCCTCAGGAACAGTAGACTTGAGCGTCCGTCTCTCCTGAGGCACCATGGATACCTGCAGGGATAAAATGATAGAAATGATGATGATCTACCAACAAAGCTATAAAACTGTGTTCTCCCATCTTTAAAATACACATCCATACATATTTAGGAAATAGGGGATGTTGAAGTGTGCTTGAATAATAATGTCTTACATTTTGTAGATATCTTTCTGAACAGCCTCTATTCAGAGAAACAGAGTTTATGCCCAATAAGACCTCTGAGAGAATAGCTCACGCGAGTAAAGCCAAGACCAAAGTGAATTACCGTCATGTTAAAACCAGTGACTAAAAATAACGGACAAACCCTCCATGGCATCAGTTTCTGAAAAGACGAACTGAAGTGTCTCTGCTACCCTCTGTCTTCCTGGCTGTAACACTTTAACATGAGTCGGAGGCTGAGGCCTTCCCTGGAGCAAGCCGGGGGACGAGCTGCTAGCACTAGCGCTGATGGCTCATCTGCTACCTGTCAATCAAAATGACACGCCCCTTAAAGGCGTGGAAAACATTTTCTAATGATCATTTCTGATTATAACTGGTCCCGCTGAGTTTTTCGTGCAGGCTGAACATGAAAACAGTCTTATCGATGAAACGCTCAGATTTAAAACACCCGATAGATCTACATCACACTGTCACTGAGCATTCATGGACTCACCCATCTTGACTCGTGACACAGAAAGCTGGTGTTGGCTTAGCATCCAGGAAATGGCAGAGAATGTCTCCACTTGTAGTAGGGAATCGTTAGTACTAGCAACTGCACCACACATCAGAAGCCCTCCAGGCTTGTGTTATTTGTGGAGATAAAACATCCACATTGCAAAGCAAACGGAGTCAATGCTGTTATCCAATTTGAGGCGAGATGTCCAAATATCAGTTATAAAAGCCCATTTTAGAAAACACACCATGCCACGCCACGGTGTGCCTTATGAAAGTGCCATGGCGGCATAGCATTGTGGGAATTTTGCAGCATTTGTGCCACCACGCTTAGTAGTAATATGACCACAACGCTGGACTTGTGAATGCATATTACGCCTTGGTGTAACAGAGGGAGGTGTACTCAACATTTAGGGAGTTACTGCCGAGCTAGTTTTAAAACTACATTAAAAATGACAGTAAACATCAGAATCAGCTTTATTGTCATTGCCCCAGCGTCTCGAAGCACAGAAATTTGACTCCGCAGTACAGCCTGACCAAGGTTACACACACAAAACATAGAGAACAAAACAGACACAGGCAGACCACGAGAGCTGCCATTCAAGGCGTTCATGGGCAGTAAGTTTCGCTTTTGCAAGCCGAACCAGATGAGGTGATAAACCGGAGCGATGCAGATCTCTAGGAGCTTCTCTCCGTTAGAGCTGGAGAAACTGCATGGGGACTGTGGGGGACAGGCACCTTTAGGAGCGGCTTGTCAAAAAAAATGCAATGAGCGTGGCTTTGATCGCAATAAAAAGCAAGTTATGTTCGAGATTAATGGAAGTCCGTGGCAGCGCAGAGACCGTCCCAATACCCCCTTTATACCGTCATCGCTTAATCTTTTGTAAAAAAGACACGATTGCGCCACAGTCCGACCATTTATAAGGCTCCCTGAATTGGTGGCATTGTTTTCTAGAAGAGGCTTGAGACTCCAAATCCTATCATCTTTAATTATTTATAATTTCGAGCTTTATTTACATCTAAATGGACGAGTTACAAATAAAATCACCCCTCTCAGGGTGGTCATGACGGTAAACTTGACCTATTAAACCCAAATAGTTTTTTTTTAAAATCTAGACTGTAAACATCTTTATTTCTGCTGTGATGTTGGCATTTTTAACATTGAAATCAGCGATAACTTGCTTCTTTCTGGATCCAGCCCCTAACGAAGGAGGGGCCAGCTGCAATTTTTGTCACTTCTGTGTTGACTTCACTTTTGGCAGGTGGAGTTTGTCCCTTGGTTAAAACAGGTCAGATCTCCAGACTTCCAGAGCATATCACAAAAGTGTTATTTTATAAACACTATTGTTGATTTAACACAGTTATTTATAATGAATCACCAGCAGTAGCATGATGCAGCCCCTCCTGCACATTCAGAGGTCAACTAGGGTTTCCCAATATTTACGTCATAATAACTGGAATTCAGAAATTTCCAATATTAAAGGTTTAAACGATGTTCACAAGAACTGTTGTGACTTTAAGGTTTGAGCAAAGACAGCAGTCATGCATTCTGGTCTTGACTGCATCCATATTAGCTGTTGGCTGATCTGTTCTGTCGGATGTGAACTACTTCTCTAAGCAGTGGCTGTTCAGGAAACTACAACAGGTAGTTATTTGTAACTTTTACACAGAAACACACCTTTAAATGGTTAAAATATTCATTTAACATTTGACACTGTTTGATTAAACAATTTGTTAACTCACTGAAATTTTAAATGTGTTGTCATGTGTCATTTAATTAAAACCCCGCAACCCACTGGGTTGGGACTAATTTATGATGTTTGCACAAAACAGCTGAAAGCCATCAGTTCTTTAAATTATGCTTGATTCGCATGAAAAATCATACTTAATGCATGCAAAAATTATATCCATCACATTAGCTGGTTCAAGTGCCTTCCTTCAAATAACATATTCATGTGTGTGTGTGTGTGTGTGTGTGTGTGTGTGTGTGTGTGTGTGTGTGTGTGTGTGTGTGTGTGTGTGTGTGTGTGTGTGTGTGTGTGTGTGTGTGTGTGTGTGTGTGTGTGTGTGTGTGTGTCTGCTCTGTCTTCTCGATCCCCAGTGAGTCGTGGAGGATGGCTGCTTATACTGAGCCAGGATTCTCTGGAGGTTTCTTCCTGTTAAAAGGGAGTTTTCCTCTCCACTGTCGCTTTATGCTTGCTTAGTATGACGATTGCTGTATAGTCACTGACACTAGTCAGTGACTTGATACAATTTGATGGGTTCCTTATACAGGAAACATTATTTCTGATTGGCTTATTGAACTGACCTGAATTGTGAAGTGCCTTCAGACGACTCTTGTCGTGATTTGGCGCTATATAAATAAACTTGAATTGAATTGAGTTGAATTTTCCAGTTAAAGACAACAAGGGTTTGCCTTCTTGGCACAAATTTACAAACTCCACCTATAAATCATGCAGATCTAATTATAAAAATATATTTTACAATCCGCTAAATGGAAAAATCAACATCCAATCTTACAGATGGACATCCATATTCAGAATTAAACGCTAAATAAATCTCTGTGTGAACAGAGCAATAATCAGCATAAAACAAGATGGATTTAGATGCTGCAGCATCAGCTGAAAACAACGCAAGCAAGTCAACCCCTACCAGAGCCTAACTCCACTCCCACTTCATGTTTGAAAAATGCAACAAATGCTGTTGTCTGGCAGACCGAGAAGGAGGAGCTGCTAACAAACACACACACACACACACACACACACACACACACACACACACACACACACACACACACACACACACACACACACACACACACACACACACACACACACACACACACACAGGCTCAAGACAGCATTGTGACATCATAATGTTCCAGTTTACATGATAGCATACCTCTTAGCCAATAGCGGTGGCAGATTTAAATTAAAATACAGTGCAGAGTTTTTACCTGACAACGGCACAACACTGCCAGTTTTAGGCTGAAAATTTAAATTTTAACTAAGATGCACTGAAGTGCCAAATTATTGACTACACGTGCCTGCAGCACGATTAGACACTCGTTTATTTAGTTTATCAGCAAAAAAAAAGTTTATTTGGGGGTGACTTGCTCTTTAAAGTTTGGCAGCTATCTCGTGAATAAGCAGGGTTGGTAAATGGCAGTTCTTTAAAAAAATGGAAATGAAAATGAAAAATGATTGTGAGTTGCAGACACAAAGTTATAGAAACCAGAGGAGGCTGCTGCCAGACAAAGCTGGCAACCCCTCAAGTCGTGTATTAAGGCTTCAGGTCTGTGAATTCTTTTACCACCAATATTCCATTTGAAAGTGCAGCGGATGCACATCTGAAGCAAAGCACTGGCAAAGTAATGAAGGTAGTAATGAACAAAAGACCTATGAGAATAAACCATCAGCTGTAATGAAAAAACTGCTATGCTCAGTGTGAATAAATGATGAAGTTTCGTGACGGCGTTTTTTACACACAAATCTATCAGAGTCCAATTTAGCCAAAAGCACGAACAACTTGACTTGCACCCGTTCTGGGTTGGAGGCTTCAACACAGATCTGATTCTGATTCCATTTTAATTCATCCCAAGAGTGTACACTGCAAAAACTGATTTCTAAGAAAGTAAAATAACCCTATCTTTAGACATTTTATCTCATTTGTACTCTAAAAAATATATGTATCCTCTAGAGAATTAGCAATACTTAAATCATTCTTAAATATGATCCAAACGTTCTTGTCTCTAAATCCAAGACCATGGTCTTGAGCTGGAAAAGGGTAGAACGCCTTCTCCGTCTCAGGGATGAGGTCCTGCCCCAAAGGGAAGGAGTTGAAGTATCTCTAAGTTGTTCACGAGTGAGGGAAAGATGGAGCCCAAGATCAACCGGTGGATTGGTCCTGCATCTGCTGTGATGCGGATGTTGTACTGCTCTGTCGTGGTGAAAAGAGAGCTGAGCTGGAAGGCAAAGCTCTTAATTTACCGGTCGATCTACGTTCCTGCCCTCATCTATGGTCATGTGCTTTGGGTAGTGACTGAAAGAATGAAATCATGGAAAAAAAGCAGCCGAAATGAGTTTTCTCCGCAGGGTGGCTGGGCTCTCCCTTGGAGATAGGGTGAGAAGCTGGGTCATCCGGGGCTCGGAGTAGACCCGCTGCTCTTCCACATTGAGAGGAGCCAGTTGAGGTGGCTTAGGATCTAGTTAAGATGTGTTTTGGATGCCTCCTTGGTGAGGTTTTCCGGGCACATCCAACCAGGAGAAGGCCTAAGGGAAGACCCAGGACACACTGGAGGGATTATGTCTCTTGGCTGTTCAGGGAAAGCCTTAGGATTTCCCTGGTGGAGCTGGTCCAAGTGGCTGGGGAGAGGGAAGTCTGGGCCTCCCTACTTAGGCTGCTGCCCCCGCGCCCCGACCCCGGATTAGGGGCCGAAAATGGATGGTTGGGCTTTCTTGTTTTGAGTAGAAAACTCAAATGGGGTAAGCAAAATTTCTTGGCTGGTATTCTACCAAAATAATCTCATTTTAGATTTAGTAGCTAATTCAAAAAGTTCTAGTCAAGCAACTTTTGCCTACTGCAGGTTTTATTTGTACTAAAAACAAGAACATTCGGATCATTTTTAAGAATATTTTCCTCATTCTAAGTATTAATGCAAATTTTCTAGAGAAGAACATTTTTTTCTTCTTAGGCAAAAATTAAAATAAAGTGTTCAAAAATTTGGCTTTTTTTAACTTTCTTAGAAATCGGTTTTTGCCGTGTAGAGTAAACAGGATAACCAGTGGGAAAAGTTGGATTATTTTAGTCGTGCTTGATTAACCATGCTCTCATGTTGACCAGATCTTTATAAATACCAGCCACAAAAAAATCATTAAAGACATTTTTAGAGCTAATTTGTGGGGTTTTTTTGCCAAAGCTTCTCTAGAAATCCTACCTGTTTTTGTCGCTTCATGACCTTATATAAAAAAACACATTGATAGGTTAAATTATAGCAGCTGTTTTTGAGCATAAAAACTGGGAATGTTGAAATACGTTCACCCAATCAAATGTGTGATATAGCCACAGGAACTGACACCACACAGCAAAGACTTTCCCAAAACTAAAGAAAAGATCTGATTTGAACCAGGATGGTCTTCATGTTTTCACTGAAACATGACATCATAACACACACATACACACACTTACAGTGAAATCATTGTCAGGAAAGAGGAGGAGATCTCTGAGAGGATCTTCCTTCAGCTCATCCAACAGCTCAGAGATGACGGCCTCATAGTCGAGAGGATCGATCAACTTCGGCTTCTCCTGCTGCAAAAGGAAAAATAGCAACCCGGTCAGTTTTTAATTGTAGGTTTGGGTCAAAAAAATAAAAAATAAAACTTGATCCAAAGTTACTAAATATGATGAAGCAGGTATAATTTAATTTTCTATTCAAAAAGGATGTCCAATATTTTTGGTCTATCATCATTATTGACCAATATTGGCATAGAAAAGGAAATGATCATTATCAGTTCTTCAATGACACAACAAAAGCAAAAGTTTTGGGCAGGTGTGAAAAAACACTGAGAACCAGGGCTATTGAATTCCGGGCCTCGAGGGCCGGTATCCAGCACGCTTTAGTTTAACTCAACTTCAACACACCTGACTTCAATCAACAGGTGATTAACAGGCTTCTGCTGAGCCTGATGAGCTGCTGCTAACCCTAACCACTAAAACGTGCCAGATACCGGCCCTCGAGGCCCGGAATTCAATAGCCCTGCTTTGAAAAAATGTATATACAGTAAATTATGATTGTTTATGTTTATTAATTTACTAAATACAAAGTGAGTGACCCCAAACATGCAGCCAAAGTTAATAAGAACTATCTTAACAAGAAATCCTAGAAGCAAGTAAGTAAGTAAACTTGTGACCATAACTTCTGTATGGTCTCCCCAACAAACTCCTTCATGAACTGCAAATGGTCCAGAATTCAGCAGCCCGTATTATCACCAGAACCCCTTCCTTTCACCACATCACCCCGGTTCTCCAGCAGCTTCACTGGCTCCCAGTTAAATTCAGGTCCATCTTCAAAATTCTCCTCCATACCTTCAAAGCTATCCACAACCTCTCTCCTCCATATATCTCAGACCTTATAAGTATTCACACCCCATCCCGTTCACTCAGATCATCTTCTTCCATCCATCTTGCGGTTTCTTCTGCCCGTCTCGCTACCATGGGGAGCAGAGCTTTCAGCCGCTCTGCTCCCCGTCTCTGGAACTCACTTCCCCCAGACATCAGGAACATCGACAGTTTTACCCTTTTCCAATCAAAACTCAAAACACACATGTTTAAATCTGCCTACAACCTCTGATTTTATTGAACTGTTTCTCTCTTTGTTTTTTTTTGTTTGGGTTTTATTATTGTTTTATTGTATTTTATTACGTGTTTTCTGTAAAGTGACCTTAGGTGTCCTGAAAGGCGCTTTGAAATAAAATGTATTATTATTATTATTATTATTATTATTATTATTATTATTATTATTATTATTATTATTAAACGTTTATTTATATAGCGCCTTTCACAGATATAAATCACAAAGCGCTGTACAACATGATAAAGATCAGGGCAAATACCTCTAACCAATAAAAACATCAGAAAAACAATAGCAGTGATAAAATAGAAAATAAAATCATGAGTATAAACAAAGTGAAGGTGTGAACCTGAACAAAGCCATCTTTTAGAACATTTAGGGAGGGAACGCCTGGATGAAAAGGTGAGTTTTTAGATGATTTTTAAAGACCTCTACAGTGTTAGAGAGACGGAGATTTGAAGGTAGACTGTTCCAAAGTCTGGGTGCAATAGTCTGAAAGGCCCTGTCCCCTTTGGTTTTCAGTCTGGTTCGAGGAACAGCCAGGAGGTTTTCAGATGTGGATCTAAGGTTCAGAGAGGTGGTGTGTGGGGATAAAAGCTCAGATAGGTAGCTTGGAGCCTGGTTGTTAAGAGCTCTATAGGTCAAGACTAAAACTTTAAACTGTATTCTATATTCTACTGGGAGCCAGTGGAGGGACTGTAAAACTGGAGTGATGGTGTGGCCCCCACATAGTTCTGATCTCAACATCATGGAGTGTGTCTGGGGTTACATGATGAGACAGAAGGATTTAAGGAAGCCTACATCCACAGAAGATCTATGCGTAGCTCCCCCCCCCCCCACACACACACACACCAAAGAACCTACCAGCATAGGACCAGTACCTAGAAGAACTCAAAAGTTGAATTGATTTAGATTTCTATTTTGTTATTTAACAGCTTTTCGTTCATTGATGAAAATAAAAGATTAAAGGCACACCGGACTGCAGCGCCAGGTGTGTAAGTAACAGACCGGACCGGCACTCTGAAGTTGCAAATGTGGTATTCTGACCACAGAGGGCAGTGGTGACATGAGTGACAATTCAATAACCCTGTTAAGGGTCATTTTAGCACGTACTGGCTCAAGAAAATGATTGAAAAACATGAAAAAGCTGCATAGTATGGCTTTAACAACAGCTGAAAGGTCTCCTCAGCCTTCATTAGATTCTGCTGGAGTGGTTCATCGCTAAGCCAAACAAATCAGTCGTGTTCAGGATCTAAAACATGCAGCAATCATGTCTCTGATCTCCTGCAGTTCAAAAAACTTGAAACTCATTTTTTGCACATAAAAATGTTAAAAGTTTAAGTATGCATTATAGGTAAAAACATGTGATGTTAGTCACCAAAGACGATTAAGATTCTCTTTTTTTTCTTATGAGCGGGAGATCCCAGATATATTAGCATCAGTTTATATTGGTATTAGAAATTAAGTGTTAGATTATATCGGTATACTAGATATTAGTGAAAAATCTGATATCAGACATCCCTAATTCTATTTCTAATACAATCCCATAATCTAAAATAAAAGCATTTCACTTAATTATGTCTTCATAAGATAACAGGTTAATTCAAATTCCTTTTAACAAAGGGAATATCTTATCAAGACATTTCTGCATGTTTCTGCTTCACCATGACATCAGTGGGGCATAAATAACTAGAGGAAGTAACGCTGCAACTGAAGGTCAGCTTTGACACACCCCACTCAAATGAACTGAACTGGAATGTTTGAAGTTTGAGTTTTGATTAATAAGACTTCAATGATTGAAAGACATTCCTTCACATTCATGAACTAAATGTGAGTTTTGTTTTTATACCAACATAATATGGAGGTCTTGATGTGCAAACAAACATGAATGATAATATAAAATCAACCACTGCACACTTTCTTCATGCTTTCATATAAAGGTCAGAGCAGCATTAGCACGCATATAATTGTTTTCTAAAATTCCAAAAAGGTGCAGATCCAACACGTGACTTTCACTTTCACTTCTCTCATTGAAATGATTGAAAAGTACCTAAATTGTTGTCCCTTCCAACTAAAAATGACACGATAACCTTGTCTGGGCCCAGAGGAGAGGTGCTTGTGTCAGTCAGAAAGATTGCAGCAACAACAGCGAGGTAGCGAGGTGGTGCGGGGTTGTGGTCATAAACACAGAGGAAGTAATGAAGTCTCGTTTTGTTTGCATGTATCCTGCAGACCAGACTTCACAGCTACTATTAAAGTTGGATTCTCAAAAAGGCCTCTCAGCTCAGTCAAAATAGATCTTCAAAAAAAAAATACATGAAATTTTATAAATAGGCTGAATTTTAACTAGTAAAACTAACTCAGAAGTAATAAAATTTTAATTTTAGTGCAAAAATAATTCATTATTCTAAAGATCCTCTTTATTCTTTTATGAAATACTGTGCAAACTTATAGTAATAACCATTAGCTGTGTTATTATTCTAAATTTCATAAAACGATTTATCCATCGGTTTAGATGCAGTGAGCAGAACGGTGCATGAAGCTTGTGGGTTTTACAGCGTGACTTCTTTCTGACTGATCAGAATAAAGGTTTCAGGGGGAACACAAGACTAAATATTTGAGATGATGTAGCTTTAGCTAGTAAATAGCTGCAAAAGGCATCCATTGTTTGATGTGCTGAATGTTATGACAACAAATGATGTGCACCATAATCATAATAAATACTGTCAAATCTGACAAACTGAGGACACCCTGGGAATTCTAATCAAATGTATAATCATTACATTAGTATACATTAGGCTTTTGTCATAAACAGACAGTAAAAAGTGGTAAACAAACGCGTCATCAATGAATTACTGAGGACGTTACTAATAAATTGACACGATAAAGAAGAAACATCAAATACATACAATACTCAGCCGGTTGAAAGCCGATCGCACTCGTTTGCTCTTGGCTTTCCTCCTGAAAGTGATTTTGCTCCTGAAGCTCATCGGCTGTTCGGTCGACATTTGTGAGATTAAAGTTAAATCTAAAAATAATACAATTAAAGTTTAAAAGAACGGAGACGCATTGTGGGCATGTGCGCTTTCAGAAGCAGAACTGACACCCTGTACAAGTCAGCCTCAGCACACGTGGATGGAGAGGAAGTTGATGTGTGACAGCCCACACACACACACACACACACACACACACACACACACACACACACACACACACACACACACACACACACACACACACACAGGCAAGCATGCACAAACAGAAATTCCCCGTGAGCAAGGAACAAACCTATCAACTTCGTCAGTTTCTGCACATCACATCCAAACTGTTGATGCTGTTTTTAGACAACTCAGCAACACAATCTGAGATAACAGCTTCAACTTTCAAACATCCACGTCTTTACCTGCACGTACACACAACCTTAAGACTTCCATTTATAGATAAATATGCATGCACACAATCAACACAACTGCCTTCATCTTACTTTTCTGTTTTTAATAATTCAACATCTCCTAGGTGTTGACGAAAGCACACAGACACGAGCACACCTGAAAACTCTGAACTTCCTGTTTAGAAGATGGACTGTAAACTACCAGGCTTCAGCTTGTGAAGCTGTGGGCAAGAAATATCTATAATTATTTTTTTAAATGTAAATAAATGTATAAAGAGACATCAAATGTCCTTTAAAGGCCCCATGTGTGAAATCCATTGAAATCGTGATGAAAAAATGCGACACTTTAGCGCCATGCAGTTCAGAAAAAGTATTGCAGCTACGGTGGCTCACTCATGAGTTTGACTGTATAATCAATTTCCAACCTGTGTAGCCTAACCCACACAAAGCTTAAAACAAGCTACTTGATCTCTTTAAAAAAGCATTTATAATTGTTTGAATGCTGTAAAGCATTCAAACTATAGTGATCCTGTTTCTCTTTATAGTCGGTTAGTTAATTATTCTGCT